GAGGCCTCACTGAGCGGATAAATGTACGTTCTAAGAAAAGGACTTGCCATCCCATGGCTAGATAATCCAGTGGCCAATAGCCTAATCCATGTGCTTCTAGAGTCACGGCCCCCTCGTTGGTCTTTATAGGTTTGCACAAGCCACAGGAAAGCAAGGGCCAAGGAGGGCCCCAAGTCAGGGCCCAGAGCCCCAGGCCCTCCTCACACACCCGGAGCCAGTTTCCCCCAGTTCAGAGTGGAGCCCTCGCCACCAGGCTCACGTATCACTGCCACCCCTCGTCCTCAGCACCCAGCCTCCGTGGAGCTTCCATAGATAACAAACTCCCCCACAGTCTTCTCTTTCACTCAAACTGCATGTTGCTCAGATTCTAAAAACTCTAAAGAGTGGGAAGGTGGCAGTAGTTTATTTCAGAAAATTGGCGTCCAAGGGCTGCCACATTCATCGCAATTCCAGGGTACAAAAAACATTTGGCATGAGACAAAAAACACCCTTAAACATGACTTGGTTCTAATTTCAAGACTCCTGGGCATCAAAATACAAAGGACTTTAGAAAAATACTCAGTAATCCTGTGAATTTCCCTAGTTTCAAAAGACAATGTTCCCTTTCCAACCCTCTCTCTCGAAGAGAAGACCACTCCTTTTTCTAGCCCAAGAAGGGATGTTCTTTGGCCGGAATAAGTTTGAAACACATGGCGGCCTCACTTAAAGGTTTCCAGCTTTGGGTTCCAGGGGAGGAACAGAAAGATACTGATGCTGGTCTCTTGAATAAAATAAACTAGTAGAGTTCTTTCCCCCACGGATGGATGCAGCAGAACCCCCAACCCTGGCACAGGGGGAATTTAAATAGTACACTACACATTTCTGGGCTCATTTCAGTAAGGACAGAACGCGTAACAAATACTGCTCAGTATATTACAGAAGTGTCAACAACCTGACCTCTAGAAAGAGACTGCTGTGACAATATCCAGAAAGCCACGTATTCTGACAAAAGCCCACGGGGGGCGCATATGCTCAGCACCTAATGGCTCCCCAGGTTGTACTAAGCCATACTCAGGCTTGGAACCGCTTTTCTTCTTCAGTTTCTATGCTGCGGCTGCCACCCAGCGCACTAGCAGACTAGTTCACCGGGGTACTGGGAGACGGCTCAGCACCGTCACTGTTCCTGCAGCCACTGTTCACAGGGCCTCACACAGACCAGTGGACAGGAGGACAACACACAACTTTAGAATTTCATGACCCAAGAAGAGCCGCGGGATTCCCCTATTCTGTGGCCACCCCATGGCCCACGTGCCTGGGATATCTACCCAGCTGGCACGGAGCGACTGGGGAGGAGGGAAGATGAAATAAGGGTCCTCGCCGGCTTCCGATGCGATTCACAGGCAAGTCCAGGTTAACAGAAAGGAAAGGTCACTTCAGTGATGAGCTCCCCAGAAGCCTCCCTGGGGAAGGGATAATGCTGCCCCCCAGCCTGTTCCTACTTACAGCTCTGCCTGGGCTTTGGGGTGAGCACACGCCGGGGCTTCCAGGACAGTCCTACTGATGCGTGCTGTGCGGGCACGACTGTTAACAGTCCCCAGCGTCACTCTCCAGTGTCATAGTTTGCATGCTAAATTATATGGTCCCCTAAATGGAGCTGAGTTCCTAGAGGGAATTTTGCTGGGTTTCGTGGGACCATACCCGTCCAAGTCTACCACTGGCCTCGGGACAGACCGGGTACAGATTCTCTCCATGTCTCTGTGTCCAGCAGCGGGAGAGGCTGAAGCACAGGACGCGGCGGTCAGAGCCCCTCTGCCTGGGTTAGCATCTCAGGCCCTCACACGTCACAGCAGTGAGACTGTGGACAAGCTCTTTAACATCCCCATTTGACACAAAAATGGGACTAAAAGTGATTGCTAAGAAGGTTAACGAGTTAATATTTGTAAAGTGCTTAGGACATAGGGGAAGCACTCTGTCCGCTAAGTGAAAAACCAATACGCAGTCTAGCTGTCTAACAGGTAGGTGAACTTCTATAGGAGGATGTGAGGCAGGGGAGGAAAGCCCTTCTTAAACAACTTTTAGACACCCTCCATGCTCAAGGACTTCTCCCGAGCACACCGCGCCCGCCCCAAGCCCGCCCTGCACAACCCTGAGCGGTGCTGCCTAGGAACAGGATGCCAGAGGGCCAGGGCGGCATAAAGGCTGCCAGGTGGTTTATGGTCAACTACACGACAGCCACAGTGAAACCAGCTCGAGCAGAACAAAGACAAGTATTCCAGGTTGCAGCTGGCTGTCAGAAGCCTTCAAACATCTCCCCCAGTTGTCTTAGGCCCTCAAATTGAAGAGAGCTCTTTGCCTCATCACATACTCGGCAACGGAAATAGCACATTTATGTATGTGATTCAGGACCTCAAAAGCATCAGAGGCGTACTGATAACAACCAATATTAGATGAAATTCAGAGCAACCCACTCAAGATGAAAAGATCTCAGATATATAACTCACGTGTAAGATTCCATGTGATACATTAGAAAGAAATCTCCTTAATTCCTCAGAGAGACACCTCTCTACTACAAACAGAATAGGTGCTTGGGACAGTCGTGCAAAAGTGGGCTACACCACACCATCCCATGAAAACAAAAATTACCAATCATCTAGATATCTGACTTTGTGAAAGCATCAATTTACTCCTTTAAATTTTAGTGTCTGGGCTTCCCTGGCGGCACAGTGGTTGGGAGTCCGCCTGCCGATGCAGGGGACACGGGTTCGTGCCCCGGTCCGGGAGGATCCCACATGCCGCGGAGCGGCTGGGCCCGTGAGCCATGGCCGCTGAGCCTGCGCGTCCGGAGCCTGTGCTCCGCAACGGGAGAGGCCACAGCAGTGAGAGGCCCGTGTACCAAAAAAAAAAAAAAAAAAAATTTTAGTGTTGTCACAGTTCTGCTTAATATCATTTGAACCTTTCAGGCCTGATTTGAACTCTCTCTTAAGATGATAAATTCCTGAAGAACGTCGCGTCTCCCAGACTGTGCACCCAGAGGGGATTCAGGATGAAGAAAAACAGGATACTGGCCCCAGATAGCTGAGGTACATATCAAAGGAATGATTTCAATATGCTCAAACTCTTGCAACTTCCCATACATAGAAAAGTGCTAAATTCATTAACCTGAGATGTCTGGTTTTCTTTAATAGTAATCTTTTGATGTTCCAACTACCTGGGGTTTTTTTGTTTGGTTTTGGTTTTTGTTTGGCAAAAACTCCTCTGTAGGGGGCTTCCCTGGTGGCACAGTGGTTAAGAATTCCCCTGCCAACGCAGGGAACACAAGTTCGAGCCCTGGTCCGGGAAGATTCCACATGCTGCGGAACTACTAAGCCCGTGCGCCACAACTACTGAGCCTGAGCTCTAGAGCCCGCGAGCCACAACTACTGAGCCTGCGCACCATAACTACTGAAGCCCGTGTGCCTAGAACCCATGCTCCGCAACAAGAGAAACCACTGCAATGAGAAGCCGTGCACCGCAACGAAGAGCAGCCCCCACTCACCACAACTAGAGAAACCCCACGGGCAGCAACAAAGACCCAACGCAGCCAAAAATAAATAAATAATTTTATATTAAAAAAAACCTCCTCTGTATCCTGGCTCCTCCCTTAACCCTTCAGGGCAGTCCCTCCGAGTGATCTGAGAGGCTGGGTCCCAGGCTTAAGTATTTTGAAAAGAACTGAGTCCTTGAAGCAGTCTAGGCTACATACAGGGCACAGCACCACACACACTAAAGACGTGCAGGAGGCAGAACCAACGAAATGCTAGATAATTTCACCAAGTGCTGATTTAAAAGTGGGGGGATCGCATGTGTAGGTACAGATGCATGCGTTTTTATGTGAATAGTGGCCTCAGATTCACTTCTCCATTATCTGTCTGGTGATCACCCAGGAGATGTGATACCTAAGGTCATAAAATTATGAATCAACAAAAAGGACGCAAGTGGAGGGCACTCCACAAAAACATAAACCACTCAGCCAGGGAGACAGAAGAACAAAAAGAGTAAGTCTTTGCTATGGCGGGGCCGGGGCCAAGAAACTTTTCCATCAACCTTCTTTTCAGGAGAGCTCAGGCTCTCCCTCCCATTTTGTAACATTGATTTCCTTATACATGAAGAAAACCAAGGAGTCGTTTCCAGAGTTCTACTACCTAAAAGAGAAAACGTAAGAACCTCATCACTCATTTACTTTGACTTCATTACTTTAATAAAATTTCATTCAAAATAATGGAAGTGAGCAGGGAATAGAACAAACCTTAATCCAGGCTGCACCCTAGGGCCCCACTAGCTCCCATTTTAAAAGAACCCGCTTTAGCAAGAAGGGGGTGGCCGCTATCCGAGGGCGCAACTTTCCGGCCGGGGGCAGCCGAGGTCCCCACGAGGTTGCGGTCACCAGCAATTCCTCCGCCGTCGCTTCAACAAGTCCCCTGTCTCGGCTCCAAAAGACCACACCCACCCCGGCTCTTCGGGGGTTTTCTCTCGCTTCGGAAGACGGCGCTTCATCCTCACCGGCGGGGACATTTCCTCCTGCTCAGTCCCGCCATCTCACTCGGGGACCCGTGACACCTCCCTCATCCACGTCTCCGCGCGGTCGCGCCCCGACCCGGCGGCGCCCCCTCCCCAGCCCCAAACCGCTGGTCGCCCTGACTCTGCGCCTGCGCCGCTTCAGGGACCACCCGCCCGCCAGCCCCACCAGACCCGGGCCCCCGGGGGAGGGGAGGGGAGGGGTCGGGCGCACAGCGCGCAAAGGGTTCTCCCGGGTCCTCCCCACGCGCGAGAATCGGTAACGCGGGGCGGGGGGACTGAGGGCCGTCGGAGGAGCGAGGAGGGCTGGGACGACCCCGTCACCAGGGCGAGGACGCCTTCCGTACGGGGGCTCGTGCGGGTCCGTGAGGCCGTGGCTCTCGGCCCTCAGCCTTCAGGGCTCCCGCACACGGTCTCCCGGGCGCCTCGGTGCCGCTCCCGCTCAGCCCCGCCCGGCCCGGCCCTACCTCCACGAGCAGCCCGAGCAGCAGCGCCGCCGCACTCCCGGCCAGGCGGCCCATGGCTGCGCGTCCTCCTGGTCGCAGGCGCGGGTCAGCAGCACGTCCCCTACGAGGGGGCCAGCCGGCTGGCGGGCGGGATCCTGGCCCGGAGTCACAGGGGCTCGGGCTGGCGGGCGAGGAGCCGGGCTGAGCCGCGAAGCCCTCGTCGCGCGCGCCCCCGGCTCGCGCGCCCCCGGCTCAGCTACAGGGTGTCAGGGTCAGCCCCGCCGGAGTGCGCGCGCCAGGAGCTGGGAGATGAGTCGCGGAGGCTGGCGAATGGGAGGGGAGGGGCCAGCTGTTTCCTCCCTCCTAGGAGACCGCCCAGTCACCCCTGAATAGACCTGGTTAAGGTTTTAAAAAGAAGCAAAGTCTCCGCGGAGTGAGGTTCGTTCCAGAGTGAGATACATGAACCCGTTGTGTGCCTCCAGGTTCTACACCGTCCCTCCCATCCCTGCACACCGTGGGGCGGTGCACCCTCCCGACGTGTGACGGCAAGGACGGCCAAAGGATGAGGCAGACGGAGAATGGAAGAATCCCTGCGCTTCACCTCTCGCTTAGATGTGGTGCTTTCATGCCCGCATCCTCCTGTGCTGGCCCTGCCTGTACTCCCCACACAATTGGCCCACATTGAAGCCCACCCTCCCGCTAGTAAGTTTGCGATGTCCTTGCCTCTGCTGAACTGACTTTCTTCCCCCCACTACCTCGTACATACCATGGTTTTTTCACAACATGGCTCAGATTCCATCTCATTTATACAGTTATTCAACAAGCATTTATTGAACTTGTAAGTTGTACCAGACCCTGAGCTGGAGAGCCAGTACATAGAGGGGGGCAAGAAAACTCTGCCTGGTGTCTAAAGGGAGAGATAGTCACTTACACGAATAGGATGCAAAGTGCTGGGTGCACACACCAGGAGGTACAGGATAATAAAGGACATGAACCTACCGGTGACTGGAGGTGAAGGGAGGGGTCAGGGAAATAGATGTTACCTAACGCATGTCCCAAACGCTTTCCAGACTTCAACATATTTACTCATCTGATGACTCTAAAACATGCACCACCAGACCACACCTGTTGGAACCAGAACTTGCAAGTCAAGCAGAAAAGATGCTTGGTGGCCTTCATTGTCATGGTAATACAGTATCAGACAAGACCACCAAGGGTCCTGCCTGGGATTTTAGTAACTTTGACTTACTATTTTATTTTATTTATTTATTTATATATTTTTTTGCGGTACGCGGGCCTCTCACTGTTGTGGCTTCTCCTGTTTCAGAGCACAGGCCCCGGACGCGCAGGCTCAGCGGCCATGGCCCAGCCGTTCCGCGGCATGTGGGACCCTCCCGGACCGGGGCACGAACCCGTGTCCCCTGCATCGACAGGCGGACTCTCAACCACTGCGCCACCAGGGAAGCCCTGACTTACTATTTTAAATGAGGGCATTTTATTACTCTTTTAAGGGTAGAAGTTAACTTGTAGAAAACCAAACACAAGCTTTGTTGTGTAATAGAGATGCAAATTTTTTCCTCCAGTGGTGATGTAAATGATTTTATCTGGTAAAAATGCAAATGACCTCTGCCAGCTCAGAACATTAACCAGGTTTCTGCTTGATTTATGGATCTCATCCCAAGAGTTTCCTTTTCTCCTCTTTTTCACTGGCTATGTACACATAGTCAGTTGCCTGCATTCTCCTTTGAAGCAGCCTTGTCATCCTCTGGTTCCCTCATTAATGGGTTGTTGACCTGAAACAAATAAGACGGCCAGTTATTTCTACGGCAAAGATGGGTTTATTTGGGATCCTTAACACAAGTTTGTGTGCCCAAAGCACAGTGAGGCCAAACAAACTAAAACGTCGGAGTTTGGAACAGGGAAAGGTTTATTGCAAGGCCATGAAAGGAGATGAGGTGACTCATTCCCTGAAAAGCCTTGAGCTCCCCGAAGGGTTTCGGCAAAGCATTTTTAAAGGCCAAGAGGGGGTAGGGGTGGGGTCGCAGGGTAGATGATCAGCTTGTAAAGAATGCACAGCATAAACCAATTACAGTAAAGAATTGGCTTCTGGTGGGAATGGATGTTAGTAACATCTGAGGATTAGGAACAACAAGGTGTTAAAAAATAAGTTGTTTAGGGCTTCCCTGGTGGCGCAGTGGTTAAGAATCCGCTTGCCGACGCAGGGGATAGGGAACCGAGCCCTGGTCGGGGAAGATCCCACGTGCCACAGACTAACTAAGCCCGTTCGCCACAACTACTGAGCCTGCGCTCTAGAGCCCATGAGCCACAACTACTGAGCCCACGTGCCACAACTACTGAAGCCCCCACGCCTAGAGCCCATGCTCCACAATAAGAGGAGCCACCGCAATGAGAAGCCTGTGCACCGCAAGGAAGAGTAGCCCCTGCTCGCGGCAACTAGAGAAAGCCCGCGTGCAGCAACAAAGACCCAACACAGCCAAATATAAATAAATTTTTTTAAGTTGTTTATTGCTTGGGGGTCCTGGACAGACCTCCACCCATGGTCCTTAGATTTTCTTGCCAGTAAAATGGGGGTGTTACAAGGATTAGTGCAAGGGACTATGAGGTCTTGAGCCTTGTAATCTTCTATTATGGGCTTTATACCTTTAAGGGCTTCTTTACTTGTAGGACATTGGTTAAGAGGATTTGAGGGGTCAGCTGGAGATTTTGCCCATAAGGAGGGTGGTAGCTGACTCAACAGGGACAAATGATTAGTGTTTCCAGAATCAGCTCTGGTACCATCAGAGATGGGACAAATAAAAGATGTCAAAGGGTCATTTAATTTATGTGGTGCGTTACTTTGATGACCACTCTCAATTTCTAGAATCATTTTCCCCTTTGGGGAGAGAGAAATTCCAGGAGAAAAGGGTGTGTCTCTCTCAAAGGGCCTAAATAAAGCGGAATACGTTCAAAGACAGGAACCTCTTGAGGTTCATTAGAGATCCCTACTGTTTGAACAGTTGTAGTCCTCTGATGCAGGGGCTGCTTTATAGTAGTGGGGCTGAGCTCTGAGAGTGTGGCTCTGGGGTCAATTCGTACTGGAAGAGATTCATCCCCCATCTGGAGATACGTTTCTCCCAGCCAATTAAGAGGGAGAATTGGGAAGAGCCCCGTCTACGGAGCCCCATCTTTGAGAACTGGGAGTACATTAGAAAGGCTGGTTAGAGGGCTGCAGGTACCTGAAGAGTTTGAATTTGTAACAATTTCTTTTCCAATGTCCTGGCTCTGTGCAATAACAGCAGCAATAAATAGGAAGGTTTTGTTTTTGTTTAGGGGCCTTCATTTGCTGGCGTTGAAGATTATGAATTTTAGCAGTCTTCCTTTGAGATGACTCATCTGGAGTGTGAGAGGGCTGGTTTGCCAGTCTAACCAAACCTGGAGTGGACATAGTTTCCCTTTCCATCCTGGTCCTTTGTACTAGAAGGGAAAGCTCCTGGTTTGGCCAATTAATAAGCATTGAGTTAAAAGCTACTCAGTGGAGTCAACATCTGGAAGACCAGACTTTTCTTTCTTTCTTTCTTTTTTAATTCCTTTTCAAATTCTTTTCCCATTTAGGTTGTTACATAACATTGAGCAGAGTTCCCTGTGCTATACAGTAGGTCCTTGTTGGTTATCCATTTTAAATATAGCAGTGTGTACATGTCAATCCCAAACTCCCAATCTATCCCCCATCCCTTCCCCCCTGGTAACCATAAGTTTGTTCTCTACAGACATTTCTTTAAAAACAACCTGAACTCAATTATAATATTCATGAACAGGTTCATCAGACTTTTGTGAACAAGACTGAATTCTGTTCCAACCAACAGACTTTGGAGAAGCCCTAGGCATTGCTTGTTGAAGTCACCTAGAAATTGCCTGAGCTCGATTGTATAATAAGTTAGCCTATTGTAGCCAAGAGGGTTGGCCTCCCAGCTGTAACTCTAGAGATCTTTCAGGATTTTCCCAGTTAGTGGTTTTCATCCAGTGCTGGGCCTGCCCTTCGCTGACAAGCATATGAACAAGAGTAAGTCAGTGAAACCAGGCTGATACATTTGAATGACTGTATTGAATTCCTCAGTAAATTTCTGAGGATCTGCATTACTCTGGGAAATTTTTGACTGGCTCACAGTTCAGCTTTAGTCCAGGGAGTGTAAGAAATTAAGAGTTTAGCCTTGGGATCCTCAGAAGGCTTAGTATTAAAGGGACGGATTCTGATAGTTTCAGAGGAGAAGAGAGTTTCAGAGAAAAGTAAAAATTTGGTGAGAGAATTAGTGTGAGGGAGCTGAGGGTATAGAGGAGGCATAGGCAGCATAGAAGAGAAGGAGGAAGATGGTGTTGAACGTGGAGTCTGAGCACAGGAGTTGAGAGAGACAGGACAGCCCAGGACGCAAAACCTGAGAAAAAGAGACCAGGAAGAAAGGCCCGCAGCTTCAGGAGCCCTTTGATCTTTCTTTAATCATTTGTTTGCCCCAGTTAATCTTAAAATCTTATTTTGAAGAGAGGCCATTTTAGACCACTGATGACCTTGGGAAGACTCAAAATACCAATCAAAATGAGCATTCCACTCAGTTCTGGAAAAGTTTGATCTATTGTAGTCCAGTTTAGTTTTAAGGAAATTAAGGTTTGAGATTTCAGAAGTTTCCCATAGTGGCCACTGATATTCTAAATTGCCTTTGGTCCCATCAGTCCATTTAGTTAGAAATGCACATGAAGAAGGGCCACGTGTTTTTTTTTTTTTCAAATAGTGTGTGCATAACTAAGATTCAGTTTCAAGCCAATTGGAACATAGAATCTGAATTTTAATAACTCTTTTTTTATATACATCTTTATTGGAGTATAATTGCTTTACAATGGTGTGTTAGTTTCTGCTGTAAAACAAAGTGAATCAGCTATACATATACATATCCCCATATCCCCTCCCTCTTGTGTCTCCCTCCCACCCTCCCTATCCCATGCCTCTAGGTGGTCACAAAGCACCGAGCTGATCTCCCTGTGCTATGCAGCTGCTTCCCACTAGCTATCTATTTTACATTTGGTAGTGTATATATGTCCATGCCACTCTCTTCACTTCGTCCCAGCTTACCCTTCCCCCTCCCCGTGTCCTCAAGTCCATTCTCTAGTCTGCGTCTTTATTCCTGTCCTGCCTCTAGTTTCTTCAGAACTATTTTTCTTAATTTTTAGATTCTATAAATATGTGTAAGCATACGGTATTTGTTTTTCTCTTTCTGACTTACTTCACTCTGTATGACTCTACGTCCATTCACTTCACTACAAATAACTCAATTTCATTTCTTTTTA